TCCATAGATGCTTCTCAAGCAAATCCCGGGACGTCATTCTCCCCTTGTACTCGGCCTTAGTGAGGCCGCAGCTGGAGTACTGCGTCCAGTTTTGGGCTCCACAATTCAAAAAGGATGTGGAGAAGCTTGAGAGAGTCCAGAGAAGAGCCACGTGCATGATCAGAGGTCAGGGAAGCAGACCCTACGATGACAGGCTGAGAGCCCTGGGGCTCTTTAGCCTGGAAAAGCACAGGCTCAGGGGTGATCTGATGGCCACGTATAAGTTTATCAGGGGTGACCACCAGTATCTGGGGGAACGTTTGTTCACCTGAGCGCCCCAAGGGATGACGACTAGGTCGAATGGTCATAAACTACTACAAGACCATTTCAGGCTGGACATAAGGAAGAATTTCTTTACTGTCCGAGCCCCCAAGGTCTGGAACAGCCTGCCACTGGAGGTGGTTCAAGCGCCCACATTGAACACCTTCAAGAGCCAACTGGATGCTCATCTTGCTGGGATCCTATGAACCTGGCTGACTTCCTGCCCTTTGGGCAGGGGGCTGGACTCGATGATCTTCCGAGGTCCCTTCCAGCCCTAATGTCTATGAAATCTATGATCACAAGCTCCCTGTGTGACCTTGGGTAACTCCCTTAAAATCTCTCTTGTGGTTCCCATCTTTGAATTAGGAATACTTGCCCAGTTCAGCAGACTTTGTTGCAAGGGCGAAGGGATTTTTGGTGAGGTAATACAGCCTTCCCATCCATGATTTTACTGATACTAGTCAGTATCAATCAGCATTTTAATAAATCTCAGTTCCATGTGATCTCTCTCAGTACTAAGCAGGGCCCTATAGAGGAAGATATGCCCTGACACCACCTGCACCAGCCCTGCTGTCAGTCCTTTACAGTCCATCAGTCCCTCCCACCAGCTCTGAATCTACTTCCTGGAAGCTAAACATTCATGCGCTAGGGTCAGCATATCTTGAATGCATGCACCAAAACCAGCACACAACCAGACCAACTAGCTCTTGCCACTGAAAACCCAGATGGAAACTGATGTCATTTCTTTATCTGTCCTGATTTATTTAGACAGAATTCAAATTGAGTCCAACCTTTGTAGGCAAAAGAGTCTGGCAGCCTCCTTGCTTTTCTGCCTGCCCTTAGATGCTTTAAACAGAAGTTAATAAGGTTTTGGGAGCGGAATACAAGGAGGAAATAGAAGCTCTCTGTGCTCTGTAACCATGATTTCACCAAAGCTGGAAAGCAGCAGCAGGGCACGTGGTATACAGGAAGAGCTCATGCTCTGCCAGAGAGCAGCGCAGGCTTATGGCTCAGGGAGAAATGTGCTAACAGGGCTACACAACACAGTAAGGCAATGCCAGGGCAGCAATTCAGAGTACAGATGGCAGGAAGGTCCTGCCTAGCATGCTGGGACCACTGCTGGGCACAGAAGGGAGTTTGGAGGGAGGTTGCAAAGAAAGATTGAGCTGGAAGGAAGACTGAGGAAGAAAGGGGACTTAATAACTGCATGGGAGGGATTTTACTGAGGGCATCCAGAGGCAAGGGGGTTATGGGATGAATATCAGGGTCAGGAACACTTCCTGGCAGCCTGTTAGAGGATGGAATATTCTCCCATGGGAAGTCAGATAGAACCAACTGTTTGGGACCTTTAAAACTCAGACTGGACAGAAACACTAGAAATGCCTCTTGCAGTGAGTGATCCCATGTTGGCAGGGAGACGGCTGGATGATCTCACAGGACTTTTCCATTGCTAATGGCCATGAATAACTTACCCTTTTTCCTGGCCTGAGCAATAACATCTGCAGCGCTTTTGCTCATCACCTTGGTAATGTAGAGGGGGCAGTTAGTTTGGTTGGCAATGGTGATTGCCCGATTCACAGCCTCAGCTTCCACCTAAAAAACAAAGTCAGCCAGTTCAGGAAAGCATGTTCATGTATCCAGTTCTTCTGACCCACCCTATTAACACCTTTGCTTTCATGAGCACATCGGGGACACATGGCTTGAGAAGACTGGGTGGCCTTTACATGACTTCCATGCCTCCCCACCCTCCTACCATGCTCCGTCTGCTGGGGCTCAAGCCCTGCACTAGGAGAATCCTCCCCAACCTGTCTGAGGGACTTACAGCCTTTATGCCACTCCAGCATATTTAACAGGGGTTGAGGGGAACAAGGATGAGGATTTTTCCACGCCAAGACAGCTCATGTACCTACCAGTATCATGATTTCTTGAGTGCTGGGAGCGTGCTCACACAGCACAGAGATGGCCCCTGTCTCCAGCAGGGAAACATCTACCACTAAGTTCTTCTTTTCAGCCTCTCAGATGAGGCCCCTGAGAGGAGTAAGTCCCCCCCATACATCTTCCATCAGTTGTGAAATGCTGCACCTTGTATGAAGAAAATTTCTACTTGAGACTGCCAAGCTGTGCACCCTGAAGCAGGGGATGTGCTTTCCTTGACCACATCTAACTGTGCATTTTAATTGGTTTATTTATTCAATCATTGGCTATTGCCCTTGTGCAGAGAACCAGCACGGTATCTATATGCACCACTAACATTCACCCATATTGTTCCTAGCCATTATGAGTCAGCACATTCCTATAGCACACAAAAAGTAACTGAATGTTGACTCAGTAAAACCATCCATGTCACCGAGGGGTGGCACATCATCAAACTGGCTACATCTTGCTTGCTCCCCACCCCCCAGTATCCGAGTGGGGAGCAGTCACAGTGCACAGCTGCACAAACCCGCACCCTTTTTGCCCATGTAAGTAGAGGCCCTTGTAAATTCAGGAGAGCAACTGAATAAGCTGCTTTAAAAACCCAGCCCTAATATTAATCCAGCCAGTTTACAAGACCTTTACAGATGCTTGGATGCCTTAATGGAGAATTTGTTCAACCCAGCCCTCAAATCTAAAAATAACATAACAATAATATTACCTCACACTCTCTGGGCCTGATCCTCCATTCCTTGCATTCCTAAGTCCTGACTCTCAACTGAAGTCACACTAGGACAGCTCTGGAGACATGCCATAAAGAATGAGGGCCCCAACATCCCAGGTCTCAAAGAACAACTCTCTCCTAACAAGTGTGAACCTACTAAAAGACTCAAGCTGCTATCCCAGCCTTCTTGACTTCACCTGTGTGCATACATGAAATCCAAGTGGGAGCTCTAGGTTTCCTAAGGGCTGCACAGTTGCATCTCGCAGCTCCAGGTGAAGTAGCTATGTCAGCATGTGGGTTCCTTGCCTTTATACAAAGAGGGAAAGAAACAGACAGTTCAACTGCCTGATCTCTCCACAGCGACAAGCTGACTGCAGCTCCTGTTGACACGAGTGGGTTTTGTATCTGCACAACAGTTCTGAAATGCCAGTCCTCTGGTTTGTGCAAACCTAAACGCAACAAGTCATTTGGGGCATGTCTGTACAATGCCCCCTCTAACCCTAGAGCCACCGCCAGCAAAATAACCCCAGGCACGCATTCCCACTTACATGGGTCACAGACTAGCAGTCAGGCTAAGGAACTCTTTAGCAACCTGGAGGTAGCTGATTAAGGAAGGCAGCTGTGACTTTTAAAAAACAGCCTGGGTTCTGGCACAGAAGGGGTTAAAATGCTAGGCAATGCTGGTGACTAACTCTGCCCTAGGAAAGGGCTATGAGAGCTGCCAGCTACTTAAAAAAAATTATATTTTAGGGCCAGGAGGGCCCACCCAAATGGAAAAGGCGATAAAAATGTTTTTCCTACAGTTTTCTCTGTGCTAAGACCAGCACTTGCAGCTGGTGGCAAGAGCCAAAGGATACCATAAAAAATCCTCTTCCTAGTTATAAGGACAGAAAAAATGGATGCTGTTCTCTCGCCAACCTATTCAGGCAATAGCAGCAGGTCAGCACCCACCCACTCTAGCCCCCAACTCCATGGTCTCTGTCCATTGACTTCAACAAACTGTATATACTAAAATTATCTGCTCACTCTCCCCAACTCGCATGCTCATCACCCTACACCAAGCAGAAGCTGGGAGAGGCCTGGTGAATGGCAGGTGGGCAGAGATGGTGCACTAGGATCTCATTAAGAACATCAGGGTGGGAATCCCAGGACTCTATTACTGGATTTCCTGCTAGTGACTGGAGAACCTTGGCCTAACTTTGAACATCTGGCAAAACGGAAGAGCCAGGACTTAACTGTGGACAAGCCACTTGCAGAAAATAAATGAAGTTCTCATCTGCTCTACATCCAGCTCTCTCACCGACTCACTGTAGATCCCTAGTTAGGCAGTCTCCCTCTCTCCCTCAGTTGCCCCACCCATAAAATGGGGATAATAGTCTTCATTCATCCTTGTCAGTGTGAGAAGACAATTCTAGAGCTGATGGCCCTGCCCTTACAAGATGCCAAGTGCCTTCAGTTCCCGGTGCAGTCTGTGAGAATTGCAGCGGGTTTTAACTGCATTCAAAGAAGGAACGTTCATGTATCTGCTGCAAACAGTGGAAAGGTAGACACAAAGCAACCAAACAAAGGGGACAGCTCATAAAGAATTAAAGGCCCTTCTTCTCTGTAGGACAAACTTTTAAACAGCTGGATAGTCCTAGAGTATTTTAAGGCTTCACTCCTCTGCGGTACCGAGCACCCTCATCTTCCAAGGAACCCAACAGGAACTAAGGGTGGTCAGGAGTGTGAACTGCAAGTGTCACAGATCCCCCCTCACTGCCAACATCTGTTACTGTTCTCCTTTGGCAAGCAGAGAAATATGTAAAGAAACAGAGAGGTGGGTGGGAAATCTGGATGCAAACGTTTGCCTACAACTTCCAGGAAACAATCCCAACCTCCAGAGTCAACTTTAACAGGGAAAAAATGAGAGGATTCATGTTCCAATTGAGCTGGGCATTGTTTCCCTCAGTCCACAGCAACATTTACTCTGAAAGATTTATGTCCAACACTGAAATGTCTTTGGATGCTGCTTGACTGAACTGAATGGAAGAAAAATAAAGGGGGCGGAACATGTGAGAATGATCTCACCCACCAGACTTCCAGCAGGACCGCATATGGCAACATTAGCAAATCCCTAATACTTTGGAGGAACAATAACAACAACTTTAACATAATGGATGGACTTCCCAGAGCCAAACCTCCAAGGAATGACGTCCAACCTGGAGATACTGAGAGGAGCACATTACAGTGGAAACTCACCAAACCCTGGGACTCTTAGGCTGGGATTTTCAAAGGA